GCTCACCACCCCCAGAGGGGGGCGGCGGCGGTGGCGGCGGGTGGGAATGGTAGCCAGACTACAACTCCCAGGGTACCCCGCGCGTCCCTCCCGGCCGGTGCACGCAGGGACTTGTAGTCCGCAACGCCCCTCGGTGATGGTGGGCGGGATGGCGGGGGGGGGGCAGCTCCCGGCGTGCTTCGCGCGGCACGCTGGTACGAAGGGTGTGCTGGGACCTGAAGTCCGTAATGCTCCCCGTGGCCACTGGCAGGGACTAGGGGTGAGGGCACCAGTGCGGCGTGGCTCCTGTGGTCCCAGGTAGACTCGCCTTTAGTGATGCCTTTTTGCGGGTGCAGTGTTTCCCTTGCAGCCCATGGTCTTGAATATCATGGCGCCACGGAGGACTTGGCCCAGGTGGCAGAGCAAGCCTGGTAGCCAGGTCCCTCCTAGCCTTCCATTCCTTCATCCACATGGTGAATATTTAAGGGAGTGGCAGGAATCAGAGCCCCGGTAGGCCCGAAGGACGAGGCTCCCAGCAGGCAGCAGGGAAGTCTGAGAGGGAGCCCCGCTGGTGCATGGGGGGACTGCTGGCAGGAAGGCCCAGCACGTACACCCAGAGACCAAGTTAGAAGCAGAGAGCAGGAACCAAGGGTGGGGGAAGGCCTGGGATTTGGCCAAAGAGAATGGTGAAGGGGACAGTGGTGGAGGGATACGAGATGAGTGACACAGCCCTGCCCAGACCTGGGGCCTGATCCACCTGGGGGGCACCTGTGGAGGTGGCCTTTTATTTCTTTCTTGAGAGACACATACCTCTGACAGAGCCTCACAACGCACTCCTGCCCCACCCAGCCAGGGGCATGCGTGCACACGGGTGCACTGGTGTGCTCAGTCCCACCTGGGGCTCCACCTTGGCCTCCCCCGTGGGCCCTGTATCACACGGCAGCCTTCCCACCTACCGCTGCAGCCTGGCTCATGTGAGGCTACGAGGGGTAAACCATGAGAACCCAGCAACACCCGGCTTTGTACTCATGGGGCCAGGCCTCTCCTCCCAGAGGGCAGCCCCCCACTGCCTCCCTCCCGCAGACCAGGAGCCCCTGCCGCTGCCAGGTCCGAGCAGAGCTGGGAGCCACACGTGACACCCCCCCCCCCCCGGCCCGGGCCCCCCGGGCCCCCCCCCCCCCCACGTGCCGTGCCCCAAGGCTGAGGGCGGGTCAGCCGTCCCGGGGCTGTCCCTGGAGCAGAGGCAGCGGTCAGGCTAGGCTAGTCGTTCCACTCAGAAGTGCCGGCCTCCAGGGCTGGTGAGGGTAGCTGTGCTCCCCCACCGCACCCACCCTGCCTAGGCCTCCTTCATAGCCACCGTGTTGCCAGTAGTGCGAAGAGGGATGCCGACGGAGCACCAGGAAGACGTGCAAGCTCCGGCAGGGCCAGGGCAGGGCCCCTCGGCCTCAGTCGCCCAGGCAGCATCCCTGGCCGTCACTGACAGCCACGGTGTCCCCAGGCATTGCCCAGTGCCCCCTGGAGGCCCC